CAGCAATGGAAGTTCCTGTAGCATGTTACAACAAACATGTAGCTGTTGGGACATAATGCTCATCAGGGTGGGGAGAGGCCAAGATGCTTAGCTCCACAGACAGAGTCTAACACTGCAGAGCCATTCACATTAGAACCGAAGTTCCTTTCTCCTTCTTTCACTCTTCTCTCATAGAAGAGAATAGTTAATGCTTATGTGCTGAGCCAGGTGCAGTGGCTCACGCCTGTAATCCCAATGCTTTGAGGCTGAGATAGGAGGATTGCTTGAGCCCAGGAGTTTAAGACCAGCCTGAGCAACATAGTGAGGCCCCATCTCTACTAAAAATTATTTTTTAAAAAATTAATGCCTATGTGCTAAATACAGTTATGAGCACTTTGTAATATATGTTATTATATCTTATCTATTTCTCAAAACATCTCTACAAAGTAGATATCAGCAATTCCTTAATAGTGTAAAAGGCTTGGAGATGCTAACTTGCTATGGTTGTGTCCTTAATCAGTAAGACAGCTTGGATTGGAACTGGGTTTGTTTGACCCTATAGACCACACTCACCCATTAAATAAAATTTCTGTCAAGATGCTCAGAGCACTTAGGACCTGGCAGGTACAGAGGCGAGGAGGGCACAGGGAAGAGAGGCATGCTTTGCTTTGAGCGGCAGCTCTTACCCTCCTATATCAGTGTGACCTGGCCTGGCCTCCCACCCTGCCCTAGCTTTTCTGTGATGAGACTCTCTAGTCAGCCAAGTGTTGAAAATGAACAAGGAGGATGGGCTTCCTCTTTGTGCTCATTTTGCTCTTGGCTGGAAATTCCAGTCTTATTTAACAGTTAACAAGCTGTTAGATCATAGGAGGAGAAAGACTTGTCAGTATCTTGGTTTGCTTCTCTGTAAAATGAATACCATAGTCTTCTCTTTCTATGGGGACTTTGAAAAATAGCTGTTATCTGCATTGAGTACTTTATGTGCACAAGAGCATTTTTTGTTTTTTTGTTTTTTTTTGAGACGGAGTCTTGCTCTGTCACCCAGGCTGTCATCCGGAGTGCAGTGGCGGGATCTCAGCTCACTGCAAGCTCCGCCTCCCGGGTTTACGCCATTCTCCTGCCTCAGCCTCCCGAGTAGCTGTGACTACAGACGCCCGCCACCTCGCCCGGCTAGTTTTTTGTATTATTTTAGAGATGGGGTTTCACCCGGGTAGCCAGGATGGTCTCAATCTCCTGACCTTGTGATCCGCCCGTCTCGGCCTCCCAAAGTGCTGGGATTACAGACTTGAGCCACCGCGCCCGGCCAAGAGCATTTCTTCAAAGTGCATAGAAGCAAGGTGACCTTCTCTTGGACAGGCTTGCCCCTGCCTCCTTCAAACAGTAGTTCACATGGAGGCTTCACCCACTCAAGCTCAGCAGGCCACCAAGTCTCAATTCCAGTGAATGTCATTTAAAAGCCCAAGCAAGCTGACTACAAACTTTTTAACATGTGTCTTTCATCTGCTCAGCAGAAATCCCTGTAACTTGTTAATAGTTCCACCCTCCCCCCACCTTTTTTTTTTTTTTGTAGTGAAACCATTTGAGGCCTGAAATCAGTACCACTCGTTCCATCTTGGGCCATCAGAGAAAAGCATTTAGAGTTGTAGGAAGTCGTCTGTTCCACCTTATGCTTCCTGCTGCAGGGCTAGAACCAGTGCTTGATGGAATATACCTATAACAGGACAGTACGGCATGCTGAACAGGTGGTCTCCTCAGGGACCGCATAAACACCAGATCAGGGAGAGCAAGGATGAACTTTCAAAGAGAAGTGATCAGATACTTATCCCATAAAACACATATCTCTTTACAGCTGGAGTCAGGTTTCTCCATTTGTGCGATAGCATTTATTTCAGAGAAGCTCATGGCATTTAGAGTGGAAAATAAGGAAAATGTGTAGGATGCCTCAAAGAAGAACTACACACTTGAAATAAATCCTTGAGATTTCTGCAAGGCACAGAAGGCCTGGCCATTCAGCTGTATAGAAACAAGACAGATGAGATGTTCTTCCTCCTCCTTCTAGAATCTTCTCCTGCCAGACATCCTTCATTATATTAAAATAATTCCATGGAAAGTACTTGTTGGTAATTCACGCTTTATATTACTTGAAACCTCAGTTACAGATGTGCTGAGAAGGACAGAAACTGAGGCCCACTGGTTCAAGTCCCTGATTTCACAGCTAATGAGAATGAAGAGGTGGCCTGCACTGGACAGAGGTTAATAAGCCTAGAATCAGACTCAGGGCTCTTTCCAACATGGCCAGCTGCTGGCTTCCTTCTCCCAGTGGTATTTACAATGTTGGCTTTGTCTCAAATTGTGGAATAAAAATCATTTTACTTTTTTTTTTTTAAGGGATTTTTTATTTTTTATTTTTTATTTTATTATTATACTTTGAGTTCTAGGGTACATGTGCATAACGTGCAGGTTTGTTACATTAAGTTGAGTATTAGAAATGAGGAAGGAGAAGTTTCTGAAATGACTCTATTAAATACAATTCTTCCTTGAAAGTTCATTGGGGGAAATTCTTTTGAAATTCTTTTGTTATTAGTTAGGCTTTGTCAAAATTTACCTCTGAATAAACTATTATAACAACAAGAGCCAAATTTGTACTTCTATAGCCAGCACTACTACCTATGTCCATGGCTGTAAGCTGAATGCTTTTTTTTTTTTTTTTCCTGCTAAAAATTAACCTTAGGTTCCTCTTTGAGAGCATCTGTCTCTTAATTGACACATCTGGGACCCCTGAGTCCTTAGCACACTGTGGATGGTTTCTTTGTATTTCAATGTCTCTGGAATCCTGCTTTTTTTTTTGAGACAGAGTTTTGCTCTTGTTGCCCAGGCCAGAGTGCAATGGCGCTATCTTGGCTTACTGCAACATCTGCCTCCTGGGCTCAAGAGGTTCTCCTGCCTCAACCTCCCAAGTAGCTGGTATTACATGCACCCACCACCACACCTGGCTGATTTTTGTATTTTTAGTAGAGACAGGGTTTCACCATGTTGGCCAGGCTGGTTTTGAACTCCTGACCTCAAGAGATCCACCTGCCTCGGCCTCCCACAGTGCTAGGATTACAGGCATGAGCCAGTGCGCCGAGCCCCTGCTAGTTTTTATAACATTCTCTTCACTGAGAAAAACCTTATTCCTGCTCTTTTCTACCTAAAATGCTCCTTACCCTTTTATAATGCTCATCTTCTAAGAGTCCCAACATGAGTGCGTAGGTGATCTAAAGGATATTACATTCCTTGGGGGAATCACAGCTCTTGACAATGCTGGGAAACTCCTAACCTTGCTGTGAAGGAGGAAGTTACATCATGGAAGATTCTCTATGGAAGACAAAGCAACTGCTCTTTCCAGAATTCAAATAAAGGGCCCTGCAGCCCTAGCACTCACCCATGTCTTTAACTTCCATTGGATGAGACAGGAGGCGGATGCTACACTACTCCTTCCTGACTTTGGGAAAGAGGAGGCTCGTAAAGGTCATTTTTGGCCTTCTTAAACTATCTGAGAACACACTGAAGTTGCTTGGATTGAACTGGTCCTCAGTCTGTTGGTGTGTCATCCACCTGTCTAGCTCTAACATTCACACGTCGTAAGATCAACTTGTTCAAACACAGATTCAGGAACTTTTGGAAATGAAAGGCATCTGGAATTCCTCTAACCCAAAGTGTGGTCTCTGGACCATCACCTGAAAACTTGTTGGAAATGCAGATTCGTAGGCCCCACCCCAGACCTACAGAATCAGACTCTAGGGATGGAGTCAGCAATCTATGCTTTAACAAGCCATCTAGCTGATTCTCATACACACTCAAGTTTAGGAAGGACTATTCTGAGTACTTAGAAATGAGGAATTCGGGTTGTATGATTGGTTCTTAAGCCACACTACACATCTGGGGGAGCTTTTAAAACAATACTGATATGGAGGTCCCATGCCCAGAAATTCTCCTTTGGTTCATCCGAGGCAGGATCCTGGAACACCAGCATTTTTAAAAGCTGCCAGGTCCTCTATGCCCGAGAACCACTGATCTAAGTTAATTCCTCATCTCTAGATGAAGAAACTGTAACCTGCAGAGGGTAAGTGATGTGCCCAGGGTTATCTGGGCAATTAGTGTGGCAGAGTTGTGAGCAGACCCAGATCTCCTGACTTTCAGGTCAGTTTAAGGCCTGTTTAGCTTCTTGTTCTCATAAATATCAAAACTCCAAAGACTCCATTTACAGTCTTTCTTCCAGTCTCTGAGAATGGGCATGATCTCATAAAAGGAGATCAGCAGAGCCTCTGGTTCATAATGATTTTGTTTTGGGTTGGCCTTGCTTTATTCTAATCTAGCCCTTATAATTGTGTTCCCAAATGTCTTTCATGTGATGCAACTTCAATCTCATACCCCAGGCTTCACTGCTGTGCACCCCCAGGCCTCAATTTTGACTTGGCACTCTCTTCCATTACCCCATTTCCTCTGAGATTAGGGTCCTGCTTTGGTGTCCTGCATGTTTGGCTAGAAGAATAAAAATGGCAAAGCAGGCAACAGCCCTGGAATAAAATACATATTTAATGCATTTCCATTAAGAATGGGAAGAGCTGAGCTAGTGGATTTTAATGCTGACATCAGAGGTCTCTTAGAAAGTGAATTTGATGGTGAGAAATGGCAACGTGAATCTTGGAAGGTTTATTGTTATTTTTATACAAAGGACTTACTAAGGCTCTTACAGAGAGAAACAAACAAAGGAATTTAGTGTTGTTTTTGATCACAGTCTTCTGGAATGTGTATGTGTGTGTGTGTGAGTGTGTGTGTGTGTATGACTGTATGACTGTGTATGTGTCCACAGGTGGAATCACTTAGCATAGGTCTGCTGAGTTAAGAGGAAAAATGGTTCTGTAAAAATCAGGCTTATCTTGGACATTTCAAGGCACCTCCAGTATGGCTTGCATATGACTTAGGCAGACTCATCTTAAAAGACTCTGTCTCAATAGTATTCACATTTTATTTTTCAGGAGGCAGCACAGGCACTTCCCCAACCACCTCCAGCACTGGGACACCATCCCCTTCGGCTTCTTCTCATCTTTTATCTCCATCCTGTTCTCCTCCAACTTTTCATCTGGCCCCCAACACTTTCAATGTGGGCTGCCGAGAGAGCCAGCTGTGTAATCTAAACCTCTCTGATTATCCACCATGTGCCCGAAGCAACATGGCTGCCTTGCAGAGCTACCCAGGGCTGAGTGACAGTGGCTACAACAGGCTTCAGAGTGGCACCACTTCAGCCACTCAGCCCTCTGAAACCTTCATGCCTCAGAGGACTCCATCCCTGATATCCGGAATACCAACTCCTCCCTCATTGCCTGGCAACAGCAAGATGGAAGCCTATGGTGGCCAGCTGGGGTCCTTCCCCACTTCCCAGTTTCAGTATGTCATGCAGGCAGGCAATGCTGCCTCCAGCTCCTCATCACCACATATGTTTGGGGGCAGCCACATGCAGCAGAGCTCCTACAATGCCTTCTCCCTTCACAACCCTTACAATCTGTATGGATACAATTTCCCCACTTCCCCTAGACTAGCTGCAAGCCCAGAAAAACTGAGCGCCTCTCAAAGCACTTTACTCTGTTCTTCTCCTTCCAACGGGGCCTTTGGAGAGAGGCAGTACCTGCCGTCAGGGATGGAGCACAGCATGCACATGATTAGCCCTTCACCCAATAACCAACAGGCAACCAACACTTGTGATGGCCGGCAATATGGGGCAGTTCCAGGCTCCTCCTCCCAGATGTCCGTGCACATGGTTTAAAGGCCAGTCCAAACACCACGGAGCATTTGGCAATCAAGGCCCCAGAGTCTCCGTGGTCAGATCCTCCTCTTTGGGAGTCCAGTGCCTTCAGAAAACAGGAACTGTGTTTTTTTTTTTTTTTTTTTTCTCTGGAGGATAACATATCCCCAAGAACTAGAGACACCTTTAAGCCAGTGAGGGATACTTGTGGTAGAATCATCCACAACTCAGTGGCCATTCTCCTGCCTTCCCAGACCTTAGTTTTATAAAGCATTGTCTGTTCCAGAGTGTCCTTTGAAGAGACTGAATAATCACTTCGTCATGATGTTAAGGGAGATGCTAGTGTGTGGCAGCCATGAAAAGTTACACATACACACCCACATACAGACAGACCTACCAATACATACCTGCGCACACACATATATATTCATACACAGTTCATACACATGCAATCATACATGCACACGGACTCTGAACTGGGTGAACTCTGTGGAGGGAGGCCCAGAATGGGTGCTTTCACCAAGAATTTGTCTATGTACAACTCTAGATGGAGTGGGCCAGCAGTAGCTGCCAGTCTCTCTCCCCTGCAGCTTCCTCTGCTTCTGGAATGAACCATGTATTCTGGAGACCCTCCCAATGGATGAGAGTGGAAAGACGTCAATACAACTGGACTTGGCTTCCGGAAAAAGATTGCTTTTGAACTTTGGCTCTCTTCACTTGTGTGCTATCATTGATATTCCCAGTGGTGCCCGTGGAAAGAGGGAGAAAGAACAGCTGAACAGGAGAAAGACAAACAGGAAGAACAGAGAACAGGAGAGAGGTGGAGAGCAAGAGTGACAAAGAAAGTGTGAGCAATGATGAGAGTTTTAATTCACCAAGGAGATGTGTTTTTGGTTTGTCCCCCCAAATGCCACCTGCCCCACTACAGGCTATAGAAAGAATCATGGCATTACTGAGGAGTAAACATCTCTGGCACATTGAGCATGGTCAGGGCATTGGTCAGAGGGACAGAGCAAGGAATGCATCCTGAGCCTACAGCTCTGACCACTGTGATCCAGAAGAGAGGTGCACTACATGGGAAGTGCTGATTCCACAGCATGCAGCCTGGTAGGGGAAGGGAAATAGAAGGGAGTGAAGAAGGAATAGTTTTACAATCTCGGAAGATGATACCAAGAGCAGAGGCAACAAATAGAGGCCTGACCTCCAAGTGCCGGATCCAGACACCTAACCTAGAATGCCTGCCCGCTACCCCTGTGGCAGGAAAAATCCCCTCATGTCCCAGGCAATTGCAGATGGGTCTTCTATACCTTCTACCTGCCCTTAGATCTCCATTTTTATCAAATAGTTCATTGCATTTTGAAGTTTTGGGTTTTTTTCCTTCATCTTTCCCTTTCCCTTCAAATCTTTTAATGGTAAGAAAGCAAGTGAAGCTTGGTGCAAGCTAAAATTTTTAAATGGTGTGGAAATGCAAATAATACCAAGTAAAATAATACAGATATTATTAAGATTTCTGGTTTTGAGGTGTTGTAGATAAATGTATTTATGTGCCTAGTGGGGAATCCAATATTATGAATATGAAAAAGGGGGCAATAAAAGGGTATGTAAAATATGTATGAAGAAAAGGTGTATAAAAATTTGCCCTTATGCACGAAACTCTGTTTCTAAGTGCCAAGCACAGAAAGCCGCTAAATAAAATCTTTGCAATTGTTTTCTGCATGTTTGTTCATACAGAAAAATCAAATAACAGCCTTGTGCATCTTCATCGTGCATTACAGTGAGTATAGAAGTTTTATATATATTACTCTATGTGATCTTTATATAGACCCCATGAAGTGAATATTAGCATCCTTTTATATGTAGTAACTGCATTCCAGAGAGATTGAATGAATTTGGCAGCATTATCCAGCCTGTCACAGAGGGAATGAGGACATAAAACCAGATCTTTTGACTCTAATGGGATTTTTGCCTTCGTGTTAGCTGCAGAAACCTGTGTGAGGCTAATAGTAATTGTCATCATTACTGTGTGTCACCTGATACTATACCATGTATTTTACATGATTATCTTATCCTCCCACAATTCTGTGAGATAAGTAATATTTGATTCATCATTTTATAGATCCAGAAACGAGCTTATAGAATGTTAAATATTTGACCAAGTGGTGGAGCTGGCAATCTGACCCTATGGTCAATTAGCACTGTCATTCAGCAGTACCACGAGGCACTTGGACAGTCAGGAAATAAGACATATCTTAAGGCACTGAGGTGAGAGTGCCTCTGAGGCTGGATTTTGTTTGGTGTGTTGAACAATAAGCATACACTATCCTCCTTGAATGCATCACTGCAGCATGAGGAGAGTGGTTTGGAGTTGTCATGCACCAACTGACAAGTTAGACTAATAAAGAGGCTAGGACTATGCCATTTACAAGAACTTCTGTATATTATTTCATTGGAGCCTCACAATAACCATGAAAGGTGGACAGGCCAGGAAGTATTGTTTTGCAAATGGAGAAGTAAAAGATAAACTCTGTGACCTGCCCATTCTTAGGTGGCTGGGAAGTAGCAGAGCCAGGACTTGAAACCTCCTCCTCTTGCCCTTACTCCAGACTGTTTCCTGGTGGACTGTTACACTGGTTGCTCACTGACCCATTTCACCAGGGTTTGATTTGGTGGGCTCAGGTTGCCAACCACCACAGCCATTCACTGGAAATGGAGGTTGGTTTGGGAGAGCAAAAACCTTATACATTGCTCTGGTTTTATAAATAACTGCAGAGGGTGGCATGCTAGTTAATTCCATTAGCCATCAGATCATTGCCAAAATAGCTGGACAATGACTGACTGAGTACCTCTACAGATTGTAGGCTCTCTGGGCATGACATGCCTCAAAAGTTAGAAAACCACTCCTATTTGGAAACCTTGCATCACCCCTTGGTTTCATAATGGTATAACAAAAACAACTACATGTGAAGCTTATGGTTATTATTATTATTTTTTAATTTAGCAGCATACCAAACATTGTTCACTGATCTAACACCCTTTGAGGTTTGGGGTGGTAGATAATCATAGTATGCCAATCAGAAAACTTGACATAGAAATCTCCATATTTTCATCCAATAGTAAGAATCATAATTTCAGTAATCATTTAGAATATTAAATACAGAACATTTTTGTAATTTGGGTTAATTAGAACAATCCAAGTTAGTTACATTGAATTATGGCATATGTTTCTATGTGTACCTGAAGAAGTAATAAAAATGTTTTTTAAAAAACAAACTGGATAAAGAATTGTGAAGAATATGCTCTATGCAATTCTCTTTCATGAAATAGTGAGCATTTATTGGAATTGGCATAGTGATTACACAAAGGGGTGTTTACTAGAAGGATTATTCTTCCATAGGCTAAGGTGCTCTACAATTGCTCATTTTTCTAGGGGAAAGGCTATCTTGTTCATCTTTGCATCCTCAATAGCTAGGACAGTTCCTGATCTATTATAGAATCTGAATACATACTTACTGTTTAATTTGTTGACCAAAGCCTTTTTTTTAAGGATGGTAAAAAATGGTTGCATGGCTAAATAATATTATTTACTCCAAGTTAAAGCTACCTAAGTTAACAAAGGTGTATTGTTTTTCATATAGTATTCTGTGGTAGATTAGTATAAATTTAAATAGTAGCTAGCAAGAATCCATTATACAGAATGAAGAGAATGAAGAGTAAAAAACACACCATGGTTTCTTTCTTGAAAGGGCTTGCTTTTTAGGCAGCCATTCACAATGAGGTTAATGATATAAAAGGCTCTGGAAATTCAAAGACGACGTTTAGGGTAAGAAGGAGAGGTTAATGGTTTTCATTGGTGAGGCAGAACTTCTATCGAACTTTTAAGGATGCTCAGAATTTTTATAGAAATAAGAAATGGTGAGCTGAGAACAAAATAAGATTTTAAAAGACAGTACAATGAATAAACATTGGAGGAAAAATAATAGCATTACAATTCAAGGAGCAATTTAATAAAGATAGAGATATCCAGAACTTTCTTACAGCCAATAGATTAGTATCTTTTTCTATGGAATATTTTTTCATTAGTGAGAGTTTTGAGAGCTGAGATCCAAGAGCAGAGCTGTTTGGTTGATGCCAAGTGTTTAATTCATTGCTTAGTACTTTGAGGATTTCAGAGAAGCTCTGTTGTACCAATTTGCATTCAGTAAGCTAAAGGAGAGTTGTCTTCCCAAGGAAACCCAGCTGCAAAGATGCATTTCACAAAAGCTTTTTTGCTTATGATCATCAAATGGAGATTTGTTCCCCACAACTATGTCAAGGTTCATCAGGTTCAGTTCAATAAATATATAATGCTCTTTGTTAAGCGCTGCTCTAGGCACTGAGAATGTAGCAATGAACAACCAGATATGTTCTTGCCTTTAAGGAACTCATGGTCTGGTGGGAGACTGATATTGAATACACTAGCAAGTAAATGAATAATTTCAGATTGCAATGATGACTTTGAGGAAATTAAAAATAATAAAATGATGGAGAATGACTGGGCAATGAAAATGAAGGCTTATTTAGATAGGAGTTTCTAAGAGGGCTGCTCTCAGAGGGTGATGTTTGAGCTAGTATAAATATAGCCATTTTCTTAGAATTGGCTTACTGTAACTTGTGCTGAGGGCAGCCATGCCTCACTGGAAGATGTGCTCAGCTGGTCTTGTATCAGCGGAGGCCAGGCATTTTTGTCTTTACAATAGCTTTGTAGTATTGATACTAATTTTTTGAAGTCTTCTTGGGACTGGAGTAATTTAGAGACTCTTCAAAATGTGAATCTATCTTCTACACAACCCGAGTAAAATAATATTTTATGACGTTCTTAGAGGATGAGAGACACCTTTCTATCTAACGTTGTGCAAGGTTAAAACTAGTGATCAACCAACCAATTCATATCAATCAGATGAATGATGAACAGTAATTAATAAGCAAAAATATTAAATATGACTTGGTAGTCTATAATGATCTGAGACATTCTGTTCTAGAAGGAGATTTTACCCTGGTTGAGGAGTCAAGCTACATGCATACAAAACAATAAAAGTATTAAATTGGTGGTAAAGACCATATATGCTGTAAAATTTCAGAAGAAAACTAATTTTTTATTGAGTGTTTATTACGTCTTACACATTATGCAAGGTAATATCCTGTAATCCTTGCAGCCACCCTATAGGATTTATATTTCAATCCCTATTTTATAGATAGGGAAACTGAAACTTACAGAGGTTAGCAATGTGCACAAAATCATATAGCTTGCAAGTAACAAAGGCAGGGCTCCAACCCAGACCTTTCCACTACTATATTTTTCCAAAAATGAGATTTATAGGGACTATAATAAAAAGTGGTAGGCTCATGGAGAAAGTTGAACTTGAATTGTACTTCGAAGAATTCATGGAAACTGCCTAAACTGAGGAGGAAGATGGTGTCCTGGTGCGAGGGTGGGGCCAGCACAGTAAAGACGCATGTTCTCTGTGTGGTATAATGAGTTATGGTAGTGGGATTGAAACAGAGGATATTCATTTTCTTAAGTCAAATCTCATGAAGTTCTCCCTGCTGTTCCTGGCACCATGACCTCTGGGTTCCCTTTCCCTATGTGAGATGTCCTTGCTCTGGAACTTGGGCAATTCAGGATTTCCTCCAGTGTCTCAATGGGAACCTTCAACCTGGAAAGCATCAGTAGGGCCTGGGAGGTGACGAAGAAATCAAGCTGCACCCCCTCAACCCCCCCAAAACCTCCACCCCACTCCACTCCCCCAGCTGGGGCCCCAGGGATAAGCTCAGCTGCCACACTCCCTGAGTCAGGCTCTGCACAGAGGCCCTTGCTTTTTCCAGTCAGGCACACAGTGCCACGTGGGATGGTGAAATGGGATCTTGCTGCTTAAAGTCGAGAAAACATTCATCATGTTTTCCTTCTTAGCTCATTTTACTGCTCATAGCACTCATCTTTTATGGGCCAGCCTAACGGCATTTCCCACTTCAGATGCTTCCTACTAACAGTTTCTGCTTTTATTACACTTTACTGCAGGCCCTGCAGAGGCACAGAAAACCAAAGGGGTTTTGAGTCATTTTTAGTATTTTCACCTAGTGAAGCCAAAGTGGACAAAGGGGGCTGCCAAAGGATTGCCAAGTCAACCTCTGGTAGCTCTCGTTCTCAGGGAAGCTTTTGAACTCCATGAAGAAGATTCTTGGAGTTCTCTTCATCTTGCCCATACCATGCATCCTTCTACACGTGGGCAGGTAGAGCCCCTCTTAGGCTGTGTCTAGATGAGGTAACAGATAAACTTCCAAATCTTAACATAATAGTGTTCATTTCTCACTCATCTCACAACCCAATATGGAGTTTCTCATTGAGCGGCTCTTCTCCAAGCAATGATTTAGGAAAACAATCATCTTCCATTTAATGGCTTCAATATCTTCAGCCCTTAGCTCAGTACCTCTCCATTCAGCTAGCAGATGAGGAGAAAGAATAAAAACTTGTACATGGGAGATACTCATAAGCCCAGTCTGGTGTTGGTGCATGACTTCCTCTCTATTCTAATGGTTAGAACTCCAATGACCACACCTAACTGCAAGGGAAACTGGGCAATATAGTCTAGCTGAATTCATAGGAAGAAGAGGAAACAGATTTGTTAGGCATCAGGGAGTTTCTGCCAGCCCCTGAGCCAACCTAGTCTGAGCCAAT